GTTGTGGGAGGATATCAAGGGTATCATCCAAGAAGAGTGCAAACGTTCATTACAAAGACAGAAGAGGAAGAAAAGACCAAAATGGATGTCATAAGAAACTCTGAAAATTGCACTGGAGCGCAGAGAAGCCAAAGCAGAGGGGAAAATTCAAGATACTAAAGAGTTGACTAGTAGATTTCAAAAGGCAGCACGGGATGACAAAGTAGAATATTACAATGAAATGTGTAAGGAGGTAGAGTCAGAAAATCAAAAGGGCTGAACTCACTCAGCATTTCTTAAGCTCAAGGAACTGAAGAACTGAAGAAAATTCTGCTGAAGATCACTAAAAAATGGCTACATCAGTACATAGATAAAGACTTTCTAGAAGTTCAAGTAGGATTTAGAAGAGGCTGTGTCACCAGGGATATCATTGCTGATTTCATATGGATCCTGGCTGAAAGTAAGGAATACCAGAGGAGTCATTTGACTATGCAAAAGCATTTGACTGTGTGGATCATAACAAGTTGTACTCTGGCTACTATATGGGAAAAAATAGGGAGCTCAGGTGGCCTAGTGATAAGAAGCTATGCTGAAATTCCTAAGGCAGGCAGTTAAAACCCACCACTTTCTCTAAGGGAATAAGATCGTCAGTCCCCTCTGGTGGGATTTACAGTCTCTGAAAACCCACTGTAGCATCAGCTATGTGTCAGTTCCAACTCAATAGCACACAACAACATATGAAAAAATGTTAATAGTCTCAATTGGACTCAAATGGTTGTTGTCTTCTATTCTAAGCTTTTATTCTTTTCTAAGTAAAGAATTACGTAGAACAAATGTATGAATATTGTTATTATGTGCCAAGTCGTTTGCAACTCATAGCGACCCTATGTGTAGCAGATCTGAACCCTCTGCTCTATCCTGAGCCAACCTCATTGCCTCTGACACACCCACCCCCAATACCCCAGTCACTGAGTTAATCTCTCTCATCCAGGGTCTTTCGCTCTGTCCCTCCACCTTCCCAAGCATCATGTCCCTCTTCAAGGACTGGTCTCTCCTTGTGACATACCCAAAGCACGTCAGACAGAGCTTCAGAATCCTTGCCTTTAAGGAGCAGCCTGATTTTACCTTCTCCAGGATGAACCTGTTTGTTCTCCTAGCAGTCCATGCAATAATCAATAATATTCAACGGAGAGATAGCTATGGGCTAAGCACCATCGTGTGGGAATCACTATCCTGAAAGAGTAACCTCAGCCCCTCAGCCAGCCTTTCAGTCTTCACCAGTCAACAAAGGTATTCAGCAGGTCAGACAACTGAGGGAGAAAGGCTGTCATGGCTATGAGCTACCCAGAGCTACCACCTGCTTTCTCCAGAAAACTTGTTCACAACTGGGGTTCCAATTCAGTGTCCCAGTTTTCCCTTCCTTGCCAATAACACTGGAACTGTTTGGGTCTGGGAGGTAGTAGAACCTGAGGGAGCTCTGCGGTAAAGAGTGGAAGGTGGGAACCTGGGTTAAAACTTGGTTTTCCTTGTCAATCTAGCACAGACTAAGATAAATATATCTGGTCATTTCCATTTGCAAGCTTTTTGTTGACAAAGACACAATTGTCAGTGCTGTTGGGGCATCACATGACGTCCACCTCCTGAAGATTGACAACCGGGAGGATGAGCTCATCACAAGAATCAACTCCTGGTGCACTCACTTAGTAGATAAGGTGAGTACAATCAATCAATCAGAGAGAAGATGGAAATCTTCTCTGGGCAGTATATACTACTTTTAATTTAAAACTAAGAAGGAAAAAGAAGAATTATAGCCTGTCACAATGAAGACCCTATTTTGATCAGTCAGAGATTTTTAAAGCTTCCATGGTTAATTTTATAATTTCTACTTCACCTGGATTTTTGCTGCTTGTGCATGGTGGTCCAGATGGGCAAGTAAAGGGAAGTTTTATGGATGTGTGCTTTTTGGGGGTGGTGTTTGATATGTAGTACTTCTCTTCCCTGCCCAAGAGAGGGGTCCTCGATGCTTTACTTAGGGTTTAAGGATGCTCAAAGGTGTTGGCTTAAAACTCCACAAGGAGAGGGAAGGAGACTGCTGCCAAGGGCCTGGATGACTCCACTTGGGGAGTTTGTGGCTTTTTGCTGCTTGTGCGTGGCAATCCAGATGTTGCCAGCAAGTAAAGGGAAGTTTTGAGGGGTCGTGTGCTTTTTTTAGGGTCGTGTTTGATGTGTAGTACTGCTCTTCCCCTACCTCCCCCCAGATGCTTTGCCTAGGGTTTAAGGTGGCTCTAAGGTGTTGGCTTAAAACCACAAACAGGGAGGGGAGGAGACTGTGGCCAAGGGCTTGGATGACTCCACTCTGGGAGTGTGTGGCTTTTTGCTGATGTTACATGGCAGTCTGGTCCGGATGGGCAAGTAAAGAGAAGATTTGGGGGTCATGTGTTCTTTTTTTTTTTTTTTTGAGTCATGTTTTATGTGTAGTACTGCTCTTTCCCCCTCAAGAGTGGGGCTCATGAGGTTTTGCCAAGGGTTTGGTTGTGTTTGGTTGTGCTTCCAGACTGATTAATGCTGGGAAGCAGGAGTAGCTTCCACTTCCTAAACTAGATACCTCTGGAAAGTCTACAAACTCTGTGAACTCTACAACCTCCCTAAACCATAAATTTACAGAAATGATGGTAGTCATAGAACAGAGTTTAGGTCTTTTGTGCAAAATTTACTCTCAGTAGTATTTGACTTGACAACACTTAAGCACTGCTAAGTGGAACTAGTGCTGTGTTATCTGGTGGAACACTCTTCCACTTTGTACATCACTTTTTGTCAATGTGTAGTATGAAGTAACCTGGGTTGCTGTGCTGTTGAACCTTGTACCACTAGGGTATCAAATACCAGAATGGCTTCCCAATGTGGACAGTGTTTGGTGGAGCTCCCAGTTGTAAAACAGGTTTGGAAGCAGGAGTGGCATCTAATTCCTAAACCACATGCCTTTGGAAACTCTACGAACTTGTAGAATTGACGACAGTTATGGAAAGGCATTAGGTCTTTTGTTCATAGAGTCGCTATGAGTCACACTCAATATGGCAATCAACAACAACAACTTCATCTGTATTTGTTGTTGTTACTTACTATTTCAAAACACAGGGAATTTGTGTACAATAGAATGAAATGTTGTTCAGTCCCACACCATTCACATAATTGTTACTGGAAAACCACTATTCAGCTGCCTGTCACCGTAAAAAACAATGTTGAAGAGTTGGAACAGAGAAAGTCAATATATTCTATATACTGGTATATAGGAGACAGGGGATATGAACTTTCCAAGTTTTCTCAAGGAAAGGAAGATATGAGGGAATATGTGTAAATTATTTTAAGGACATACAGAAGAACTTATGTTTATTCAGCACTGGAACATCAAGAAGCCATATCTAAAGGAAAATGTGTCGAAGTAAAAGAGCTGAACAGACAATTTCAAAGGGCAGCTAGAAAGACAAAGCAAATTATTATAATGGAATGTTCAGAGAGTTGGAATTGGAGAATAAAAATGGAAGAACTCGCTCTGCATTTCTCAAGCTGAAAGAACTGGGGGTGGGGGGTGGAATTACACCTCATGTTGCAATACTGAAAGATGCTAAGGGCAATATATTGAATGACCCAGAAAGCATCAAAAGAAGATGGAGGGAATACACAGAGTCACTATATCAGAGTTGACACTGAAAAATTTCAGGAAGTACCATATGAACAGGAGTCAATGGTAATGAAGGAGGAAGTAGAAGCTGCATTGAAGGCATTAGCAAAAAAAATAAGGCTCTAGGAATCGATGGGATACAGACTGACTTGCTTCAATTAACAGATGCAGCCTTGGAAGCATTCATCAGTCTATGCCAGGAAATTGGGAGGATGTCTGTCTGGCCAGTAACTTGGAAGAGGCCCATTATTTGTTCTCATTCCCAAGAAAGGTGATCCAAATGAATGTGGAAATTATCGAACAACATCACTGATACCATATGCAAACAAAATACCGCTGAAGATGATTTTAAAATGGCTGGAACAGTACATAAATAAGGAACCGCCAGAAGTTTAATCAGGATTTAGAAGAGGTTGTGGGGCCAGGGTTATCATTGCTGATGTCAGATGGATCCTGGCTGAAAGTCTATTTGTCTATTTGTGCTTTATTGACTATGCAGAAGCATATGACTGTGTGGATCATGACAAGTTGTGCTGACACTGAGAAGAATGGGAATCTCAGAGCACTCTACTGTGCTCATGCAGAACTTATACCTGGATCAGGAATCTATTGTGCAAAAGGAGCAGGGGAGCACTATATGGTTTGGAATTGGGAAGAAAGTGTCAGGGTTGTATTCTCTCTCCTTACCTTTTTAATCTATATGCTGTGCAAATTATCTGGGAAGCTGGACTCTATGAAGAGGAATGGCACATCAGGATTGGGGGAGATTCATCAATAGCCTGTGTTATACAGATGACACAATCTTACTTGCTGAAGTGAGGAGGATTTGAAGCACTTGTTGCAGAAGATCAAGGAATGCAGCCTTTGGTATGTATTGTAATTCAAAATAAAAACAAAGATTCTTACCACTGGACCAATAGGCAGTGTCATGATGGATGAAGAAGAAATTGAAATTGTCAACAGTTTCATCTTGCTTAGATCCACAATTAACTCCCTTGGTACAAGCAGTCAGAAAATAAGGCAACACACTGCACTGGGAAAATCTGCAGTTAGGGGCCTTTCCAAATTATTGAGGAGCAGTGATGTTAGTTTGAGGACTAAGATGTGCCATAGTCTTATCAATTACTAGCTATGCAATCAAGACCTGAACAGTGAATTAGGATGACAGAAAAAGAATTGACACCTTTGAGCTGCGGTGTTAGAGAAGAGCAATGAATATCCCATGGAGGGTCAAGAGAACAAATAGGTATGTCTTGGAGATTGTACAGCTGGAGTGCTCTTTGGAGGCAAGAATAATGAGGCTTTGCCTCACATACCTTGGACATGTTGCTACGAAGTGCTCTTCCTTGGGGAGGGAGATGATATTGGGAAGGGTGGAGGGTCAGCAAGGGAGAAAATGACCCTCAACCAGGTGGACTGACACGGTGAGTGCCTCAATGGGCTTTTGTTTGTCGGGAAGTGTGAAGACAGCGCAGGACAGAACAGGGTTCAGATCTGTTCATAGGGTCACTATGAGTTGTGCTCGATTCAGCAGCATTTAATACCACCACCACAGTGTCCTTGATCTTCTATAGCAAATGCTTCAAGTCCTCCTCAATGCATACCACCAGAGCTTCCTAGGCTTTCAGATTAAGAAGGCTGACATTCAGTTGACAAAAGCAGCCACCTGCATCTTCTTAACTATCCTTAATTTTGCTAGAAATTTCAGTTCCATTTAATTTGCTAGGTTTCAGTTCTCTGAGAGATCTTTCAGGTGTCATGTGACTGACTCATATATAGTAACTTTTTAGAGAGTGGCTATCTTGAAGAGACTCTTGAATGCTAACCTTCATAATATGAAAGGCTAGGGAGCTTGTGAAAAGGAACTGATGCACAGTGAGGGTGGCCGAGAGATAAACAGCAAAGGTAGCAGTTATTCAGTTAAAGTTAAAAAAGAGTTAATGTTTTTCCTTTCTATTCACTGAAAACATCATCTCTGATATGAGGTCAGAAGGTCTTATCTATTTTGTTACTGGAAAGGGAGTAGATCTCAGTCACAGATTACAGGATGAAGAGGCAAACATCAAAAAGATTTCAGCTTTAAAAAAAACAACTAGATTTTAGCTTGGTAGGTCTTCCTCAAAACAATATATTAGAATTTTGTAAATAAACCAGTATTTTAAAAAAATACACAGAAAACCCTATTGTTACAGGCTGAGAGGATAAAGGATTCCAGCCTGATGAGGTTACTTTCATTTGTCCTTTAGACTAAGAGACACTCTTAATTTGTCTTTTTTTATATATTTATGTATTTACTTACTTATTTACTTAGTGTGTGTCCCATCAAATTGGATCTGACTGGTACAGGAGGCGATTGTTCCTCCTTCTTCAGCAGAGCATCTGGTGGATTTGAACCGTGCACGTCTGGGATTGCAGTGCAGTTTCCTGCCCCTAGGCCACCAGAGCTCGCCGAGACACTCTTATTTTTAAAATATTAAAGAAATGTTGGTCATCATTTTGTTACAGTATGATTGCTGGGAAGTTTGCATTTATTGTTGGCTTATAACTAGGGAGATTACTTTCCAGCACTATACTGGTCATAATAGTGGTTTCATTGGCTGATAAACAGTAGAGCACCAGGCTTTTCTTTCTAGTCTCAGTTGGGAAGCTCCATTGACATTTTTCCATCCTGAGTGACCCTAATGGTATTTTAAACACCACTGGCACAGCTTTTAGTATCATAGTTACTCACAAGCTACCACAGTTTGGCAAACTGACACAAGCATGTTGGCCTCAGATACAGCAAGACAATCAAGAGGGGTGAGAGCCTTGAAGAGGGTAAAGTAAAGGAGGACTTAAAAGTATGTGAATCATTGTCTTCCCTCACACTAGACTCAGTAAAAGATGTTGTTGTTGTTGTTATGTGCCATCATAGCGACCCTATGTACAACAGCCCTAAACCCTGCTCTATCCTGTGCCAATCGCATTGCCTCTGACACACCCATCCCTATTACCCCAGTCACTGAATCAATCCACCTCATAGAGGGTCTTCCCCTCCTGCACTGTCCCTCCACCCTACCAAGCATGATGTCCCTCTCCAAGGACATGTCTCTCCTTACAACATGTCCAAAGTATGTCAGACGAAGCCCCAGAATCCTTGCCTCCAAGGAGTAGCCTGATTTAACCCTCTCCAGGATGAATCCATTTGTTTTCTTGGCAGTCCAGGGTACATTCAATACTCTTCTCTAGCACCACAGCTCAAAGGCATCAATTCTCCTTCTATCCTCCCTAGTCATGTCCAACTCTCTGATGCATAACAAGTGATTGCAAAGACCATGGCCTGTATCAGGCACACCTTAGTCTCCAGAGAGACACCATTGCTCTTGAGTACATTAGAGAGGTCCCTATTGCAGATTTTCCCACCGCAATATGCTTTTTGATTTCCTGGTTGCTGGTGCCAAGAGTGTTGACTGTGGAGCCGAACAAACTGAAACTGTGAACAATCTCAATCTCTTTGCCATCCATCCTGATGCTACCTATTGGTCCAATGGTGAGAATCTTTGTCTTCTTGACATTGAGCCTCACTCCATACTGAAGGCTGCAGTCCTTGACCATCTGCAGCAAGTGCATAAGATCCTCCTCAGTTTCAGCAAGCAGGGTCGTGGCATCTGCATAATGCAGATTGTTAATAGATCTTCCACCAATCCTGATGCCACACTTCTCTACTTTGTATTTTATTTATGGACGTTGTTTGGTCTCAACCCTAGATTCACACAGATGAAATCATAAGGAACCGCAAACGGGTGAAGGAGATCAATCAGTATATTGACCACATGCAAAATGAGCTGGACAGCCTGGAATTTGGAGATATACTCGATTAGGTGTGTTAGTCCTCAGTCCTCATGCTGACTACCTCTGCGAAGGGAGTTGTTAGAACTTCTCATTCACCTCCTATCTATCACTGTATCTTTTCCTACCCTGGAACAATTTCCAGATGTAAAAAGTAATAAAAGACTTATGTGACCTGTTCTCCATTCTTGAAAAGAAACAAGAATTCATGATCTGTGTAAGGAAAAGCCCCAAGGGGGTAACAGATTGTCCTACTTGGCCAAGAGTCTATGCATGACCCCAAAGGGAGCAGTGATTAGCCTGGGCTTTGGTGCATTAATATTAACAGTTGTAGATCCATTCCCTTGCACACTTCAGCTGGAGCCCTCCCCTCCTCTGGTTCCAAGGAGTTGTAGAGCAAGGACAGACAAGGGGGCACCACTGCCATGGGCCTGGAATAGCCACTGAGACTGACAGACAGGGGCCTGAGCCCCATAGAAGGGTTAGCCACAGGTGAAGTATTGGCATCACCTAGACTAGGTTCAAGTCTCACTCTAACACATCCCCCTCAGAGGCCTCTGTCTTGTGAAGTATGCCAGCATTTACCTAAAATGCTGTTGCAGAAGCCAACAGTGGGCAGTGGGCACAGATGGTGGTTTCCATTAGTTCTCTAGTCTGACGACACTGGGCTTCTGTTCTCTAAGCTTAGAGTCTTTACCACTTGCATTCTTCAAGGAGCCTTCAGTCACCTGAGGCCATGGAGATGACCATGCAGAAGATATCTAGGTGATGAAGATATGAAGGTTATCATGTAAGACACCTGGGAATTGAGGACATGTAGGGAGACAAAGCACGGAGAATGTGTCAGGGACCATGGGGTGAGACTTGGGAATAGAAAATTATTAACTCTGTGGAAGATCTAGACATTGAGGACAAGGAGATGACTGTATCAGGAAACCTGGATACAGAGGGTATTGAGATGACAAGGTAGAACCTGGGAGTGGAAACCATGATAAGACTGTGGAGAGATCCAGGCGTGGAAGACATGACAATGACCATGAGATTCCAGATATGGAGAACATGAAAAGGACTGTGTGGAAGAGATTTGGGCATAAAGGGTGTGGTAATTATCATGTGAGGGTACTCAGGCATAGAGGACTTGGAGATGATCATGTAGGGAGATCTAGATATTAAGGCTTTGGGAGTGGCCACGCATGGAAAGGGGACTGCGACAGAAGGCTTGAGGGAGGTGACCATGTAGGTGAACCAGGCATGAAAGTGATTGTGTGGGAGAACCAGGTGTGGAAAGACATAATGGTGACATTGTGGAGGAACCAGGATATAGAGGCTCTAGGAAATGACCATATGGTCAGTCCCAGGCTGAGGGCATGATGATAACTGTGTGGGAGACTCAGGTATAGTAGGCATAGAGATGACAGTGTGGAGGAGAACACGTGATGGAGAATGTGGAGATAACCACAATCTGGAGTAGACCACGTGAGAACACCCCGACATGAGGATGTGATGATTTTGGGGGAGGACAAGATAGATATGATAGTGGAAGATCCAAGCAGGGAGGACGTGACTATCTTGGGGAAGGTGGAAGTGGATGACACAGAGATCCCAAGCATAAAGGAGATAGAAGTGACCATACTTGAGCATGAGATTACACAGTCACAGCATAAAGACTGTGGTGGGGACTGTGCTGGGCACCCGGAGAGGGAAGGCATTATGTTGACTGTGGTATCAAAGGTTTATTGTTCAAAATGTCTTTCCTAGCCATTGATTAGTTTTTTATGTTAAGTATTGTATTGAGGAAATAGGATTAGGGTGGAACACAAACTCCATCCTACTAGAGGCTTAGATAAGCTCAATGCTCCCATTCTTTTGGGATGTGCGTTCTCTTGGGACACAGTATCCTGCTGCACCACAACTGACAGTCTATAGGATCTTGGCCCATTGCTCTCCAGTCTCTGCAGCACTGGCCTGCATCACCCAGTCACGTGAGTCATTTCCTTGGGGGGGGGGGGTTGAGTTTCTGTGAGATCTTCTAGTGAACTACAACAATCAAGGGTTGTAGAGTAGGGAAACTGAACAAAGGAGGAACAGATGATGTCATAAACCATGGACTGGTAAAGCACATCAAACATTTGGGACATTTTTTTCCTTCTGCCTTTTAATAAGTAGTCTGTGAATGATCTTTGCAGAATGGACTGTAAATCTAGTGACCATGTGGAGAGGTCTGAGCAAGAAGGACTTAACAGTGACTTTGAGGGGAGACATAGAGGTGACCATATGAGTGCCTCAGTGTGAAGGACAAGGATGTGACTATGTGGAGGAACCTAGGTGTGGAGGACATGGACGTGACCATTTTGGGAGTCAGGTCAGGGGCAGTGGAAGTAGCTATACTTGGAGGGCATGACAGTGAACCTGGTAAAGGATGTTGGCACAAAAGGTGACTACAGCAGAAAAGGGAGGGAAAAGATACAAGGAGTACAGAGTCATTGTACCAAAAGGAATTGATCAACATGGATTAACTTAAAGAAGTAGTACAGGATTAAGTACCATTGGTAAAGAAGGAAGAAATCCAAGCAGCACTGAAGACATTGGCAAAAAATAAGGAATTCATAGAACATCAGTTGAGGAGTTCCACCAAATAGATGCAGTCCTAGACATGCTCACTAGCCTATGTCAAGAAAAGTGGAAGAATCCACCAGATGCTCCACTGGAGAAAAAAGGGCAATCTCCTCCTGTGCCATTTGGACCTCATTCGACAGTATACAACGGGGGTTAGGGGGTGAAGAGAGAGAGAAAAAAAAAAGTGGAAGACAATTACTTGATCAACTGACTGAAGAGATCTATATTTATTTGTCTTTAAAAAAAAGGTGCTCCAACAGGGTGGAAAAATATATACACATACATACATATATAAGGTGAACCAACACATTAGCATCATATACAAGTAAAATCTTGCTGAAGATTATTCAAAACGGCTGGAAGAGTGCATCAACATTTCTGAAATTTTAAATTTCTGTAATTCAATCTGGATTCAGAAGTCATGGAATGAAGGACTGATCATGTCAGATGTATCTTGGCTGAAAGTTGAAAATACCATTAAGACAATTTAGGTTTTTATCTGTGTTTTATTGACTATGCAAAGGCAACTGACTGCATGGAATCATAACAAATTATGACTAATGTTAAGAAGAGTAGGAATCCTAGACACTTGTGTTACATAGATTAAAAAAAAATACCAAAAACCATTTTTCTGAACAGAACAAGGGAACCCTATAGTTTAAAATCAGGAAAGTAGTATTAGTCAGGATTGTATCCTTTCTCCATATACCTTCAATCTGGATGATAAGCAAATCATGTGAGAAGCTGTACTTTATGTAGAATATAGCATCAGGATTGGAGGAAGACTCATTAACAGCCTGTGTTATGCCAGTGACTTACTCTTGCTTGCAGAGTGAAGATGACTTGAAGAGCTTGCTGCAGAAAATCAAAGACTACAGCCTTCGAGATAGATTATATGTCAACATTGGGATAAAAAAATCCAAACAACTATGATCATCTCACCAAACCTGCCATCTCACCCCAGCAACAACAGCAAAGTTCAATAGGCCAGCAAACAACAAATACTTGTGAGGTTGTGGAGAGACTGGAACTCTTATTCACTGCTGGGGAGACTGTAAAATGCTACAGCCACTATGGAAGGCAGTCTGGCACTTTCTCAAAAAGTTGGAAATAGAAATACCATTTGATCCAGCTAATTCACTACTGAGTATACATCTGAAAGAAACCAGAATCACTACTTGAACAGATATATGCACACCCATGTTTACTGCTGTGTTATTCACAATAGCAAAGAGCTGGAAGCAAGCCAAGTGCCTCTCAACAAATGAATGGACAGAAAAACTATTGTGCATTCATACTGGAATGTTATGCAGCACTGGAAAAACAATGAACTTGTAAAACATTAAACAACATGTAGGAGCCTAAAGGACATTATGTTGAGTGAAGTATCTCTGTCACAAAAGGACAAATATTGCATAACACTGCTGTTACAAAATAGGACAGATGGAGGGGTTGGGGAAAAGAGTGGAAAGATAATGAACACTGTATTAGATCAGATGAGAACTGTCTGAAAGGAATTAGGCATTATATGTATGACAACAATCTGGAACCAGAAGTGCATTGTGGGGAGTAGGGAAGGGTACGAAAATGTGCAAGAATGAAAACCATTTTAGATGTTAAAAAATTTTTAAATCCTCACTACTAGATAAATAGGCAATATATCATGATAAATGGAGAAAAGATTGAAGTTGTCAAAGATTTCATTTTACTTGGATCCACAATAAACATTCATGCATGGTAAGAGTCAAGGTATCAAAGGTACATTTACATTGGTAAAATCTGCTTTCAAGGACCTCTTTTAAGTGCTAAAGAATAAGGATGTCAGGTGCACCTTATCCAAGTCATGATACCTTCAATTCTTCCTATGCAGTTACAAGTTGGTCAGTGAATTAGGAAGACCAAAAAAGAATCAATTCCTTTTGAAATATGGTATTGACAAAGAGTCCATGAAAATACCATGGACTACTCAAACAACAAATCTTAGAGGAAGTACAACCAGGGTGCTCTTTGGAGGTAAGGATGGTGAAATTTTGTCTTATATACTTTTGACACGTTGTCAGGAGGGGCTGGTCCTTGGAAAAAAAAACCATCATGTTGGGAAAGGTAGACTGTCAGTGACAGAAAGGACAACCCTCAAGGAGATAGACTGACACAGTAACAGTGGACTTGAGTATGGCAGAGGTTGAGGATGTCACAGGAAAAAGGCAAGGCTCACATCTGTTGTTCATAAGCTCACTATGGACTGTAGTTGACTTGATGTCACCTAACAACAATCTTTGAGCCTGGAACTGAACTCACTCTTTTGGCTCAACTATGACAAACCTGTAAGGTGAATAGTACCAAGGTACTCATTCCTAGAACAGGTAACTATACAAGAGTATAAGGAGGGCATTTGTCTAGGGAAATTCTTTGGACAGCAGGAAGGGATAGGTTCCTGTAGATGAGACTCACCCATGGAGGAGATGGAAGCCACTGTGAAGACAATCCTGGCTGAGGCTCATAAAGAACTGTGGAAGAAATGAAGATTGGAGAGATTTTAAGTGACCCTGGTGGAGCCACGGATGAAGAACATGATGACCATGATGAAGGAACAAAGAATGGAATGACAGTGACTGGGTGAGTGGGAGGTTGGCATAGAGGAAGTTACTATGACTATGTTGGGGGACATGGTTATTGAAGATAGCAGCCATTTATGGGGAAGACTTGGGGATAGAGCATGGAAAGGTGACTGTGAGGGCAACCTAGGTCAGGAGGGGGTCAAGTTTGGGGTGGAGAGGAAGCAGGGAGGATGCAGACATGAACATGTTGAAGGATTTGGGACCACCGGTGGGTGTAGAAAGTCCAGGCTTAGAGGATGTGGAGAAGATTGTGTAATAGAGGATGTAAGGTTGGAGGATCTAAGTATGGAATACCTGGAAATGACTGTATAAGGATTGTTTCAGTGGTTGTAATACTTCCGTAATAGAAAAACCACCAGTGGATGGTTTGGACAAATGTTATTTCCTCCATGTAGGAGGCTCTCACTCACTGCCATCAAGCTGGAACCAACTCATCGCTGACCTTCTAGTGGGTTTTCTCAGGCTGTAAATTTCACAGGTAATTTCCCATTTTCTCTCCTACAGCCACTGTTGGATTTGAATTGCCAGACGCTCAGCCTCTGGATTAGTGTGGGAGCTCCCTGGTTGGAAGGCTAGAAGTCTCAACTCAGAGCACCAGTTACAGGGAAAGATTTGTTCTTTTGGCTCAAGGGAAAGGTCCTTGTTATAACTCATTCAAAGTCTAGAAATTTCTCAGCACAGGGATTGAAGGTCTAAAGCATATAAACACTATGAGCTCTTCTTTCTGGTGCTACTAGGCCCCCTCTCTGTTCACTTCTTTTTATCTCATTAGTTATTAGTGACCCTAGCCAGAGCCCAGGGAAACACCCTTTTATAAGGATCAGAGCTGTGACTTGAGTAAAGGTGTTGCATCCCACCTTAATCTTTTTTTAAAAAAATTATTATTAAATTTTATTAGTTTTAGTGAACATTTACAGAGATTGTGGGTTTTCATTCATTCATTGTTGCACTGTTTTCTCTACCCTCCTCCCCAGTTTGTTCTTCTTCCCCCCCCAAATGTCTGTTTTAATTGCCAATTGCCACAGTGCTTGTCGAAGCCAGTTCTGATTAATCTCCTTTGTCAGTGTGTCCTTTGCCATTCCCTATCTCTCCTCCCTGAGAGAGACTTCACCCTGATTCATAAGGAAAAGGGGATGGCATATTCTCTTAGCTACTTCCTGCTGAAAAGGGACGCTGT